CTAACATGATCCTACTTGCAGATCTGGGGATGTAGAAACAGCCCAAGATGGTCACTCCCCAAAGCAGAAACCATTCTTGTAAATAGGCTAAGCCTGCCCTTCCCAACCCAGAGGAAAAGGAAACCAGGTATGGATCTTTTGATGCAGACCAAGAGAGAAACAACCTCCAACCTTTTCCTTCTCGCACAAAACCATGGGCTTTGGGGTTGATCCTCAGGGCTTAGCCAGCATTTTGGAATGAAGCTTTGTCTTTACCTGCTGTGAATCAGTGAAGAATGGACTGTACAGTTTAGCTCCATTCTTTCAAAGCACCATTTATACATTTCCTTCAGTACCGTAGCTAGTCCTGCCTTATGACTCTTTCCTTATTGTCACCTGCATCTTGCAGCATCATTTCAGTGCAGCTCCCTTCTAATAATTGCCCTATACTCTGAGTTACGGAGAACAAACAAATGACAGACCTTGCTCCTTGTAAGGCATATTCTCAAAAGGCAGGTGGTGGAATGTCACAGGACAGATGTCCATCTGTCCGTGCAGAGGTAGAGGCCACTATTTCTATTCCTATACAAAACTATTATTCATCCAGGCATACAAGACTACGCATATGATATAGTGAGCCCATTCCCAGGGACCAGTTCATGCTGATAGGAAAAATATATACTGCAGAATGCCACTTTCTGGGCAAAGTGTGCTGTAGAGGCTGCAGCTTTAATATCCTCACTCCCAGCAGCCTTCCCCTTCCATATCCTTGGCAGTAAAGGCTTGCACAGTGCCTATGTTCTATGCAGGCATTTGAGGAACCAAAATGTCTGCATATACAGACTACTAAGGTAGACCAAAAAACTAGTGTGATTGGCAGCTTGCTTCATTTTCTGATCCCTGCTAGATCTCAGTAAGAACTCCCATAAATCACTCTTAATACAAGGCTCATAACCTCCCTGTCCCTGTACTCCGCAGCAGACATCATCAACAGAGCAGACATCACTTAAACCACATCCAGCTTCACTAGACTTGATGTAATTTCCTTTTATACATTATGAAATGAAAAAGCCCTTATTTTCCTCACAGTTCTGTTTGGCCACTCCATGGTTTCATTATCCTCCCTGGGCTCCTGGACCATGCTTGTCTCCTGGGATCTTCATGCAAAAGAGGTCATTTGTAGACAAATATACTTGTGAAGCTAACCCAAGCTAGATAGGCAATTCTCATGACCACATTTCCTGCAATGCTATAGCTAGGAGGAGTCCAGATAACTGAATAGCACTGGACATTTTCCTGTCTTGCTACCTTCTTGACTAGGGCCCTGCTTTATCTTCGTGAATCACACTATTACTGAGGGAAATCCTAGAAATCCATGCATATCACACTGTGAACGGAGGGTGAAAATACATGGCCACATCTTGATCTACATTTATGCAGAATCCACAGCAGGGTCCCTTCACTGAAAGTCTCTCAGCCCCTGAGCCAGAAATGACAGCGGTGAGAGCCATATAAATCCCTGGGAAGTGAACTAGATGGACAGGTAAATTAGATCCATGGGAATTTTAAATAAGAGAAGTGGGCATATCTGAAGGCCAGATCTGCTTGAGCTCCTGTTAGCCTTGCTATCTTGACAGCATTGATGGCACTCCTCTTGCTTGTTTATTTCTTCTTATATTAAAAAAATTAGCACAAGTCTTGAAACTAGGGCATTATATCAATGGTTATTGAAGCTTCCGATGTTTCAAACCATGGTACAGGGAAAAAATTACATTTTGTATTGGTCTATTTCTGTATTTTCCAGCATATTAGTAGTATTTGAGGCTGATGAATTGAGCAATCTGGATGCAAATGGCTTGTAGTACGTTTGGAGTGTTGTATGTACAGTTGTCAGAGAAAATATAAGAGGTAAGGGTTCTTCTGTGATATCTTTTATGATACCAACTGTATAGCAGGGAGAGATAAAAGATATCACAAAAGAGTCCTTGCTTCTCATTGCAAAGGACTTGGCAGTTATAAGGTGGAAGCATTACATCCTTTGTCCATTAATGCATTTTGTACTGGATTACATCACAGGTCTACTCAGAGAGTCTTAGCCCTCTGAGTGTCTTTTTATATGTACATGTGCTATTTTCACAGGAGCCTGAAACTGTTTCAAGATTTTAACAACACAATTCTCTTTCAACCACTAGAGGGAGTTACCATTATTAAAGTGAGCTTCATGAGAACCAGGGAACTGACTGAATACTATGACTTTAAAGTGTTTGTAGATAACATGAAAACATCAAAAAGGAATTTGAATGTATGCTACAGGGCTGACAAATGGCAAATGAAATATAAAGTAAAAACTGTCAAATAACAAATGTGCTGCTGAAGGTATAGAATGCTATGGAATTAATCGAATCAAAGGGAAAGGCTGCTAGGAACAGCACCTATTTTCTAGCATGCTATTCTGCAACTGCAATGAAGAAGAAGCTAGCCCAAAGCCGAGGAATAGAAGCCTATGAAATGAAGAAGGGAAGGATCCACGTGTAAAGCTACAAAGGTTTCCAGACCCCAAAGAAATTTGTCTGAGACTCTTGTCTGATCTAGCCCAGCAGAGACAGCTGTGGTTACTTAGGTATCTGAACAGAAAGAACTAGAATGAAAAAGGGTTATGAAAGTATTTTGAACTAAAGCTGTCATTCCTTCACCTCTGGGTAACATCCTGCAAGTGGTGGCATGGGGACAGAGGGACACAGGGGAGGGCCTCTGGATATATGCAGAGCTTTGCCCCTCTTCAGTGTTGGGCAATCTGCATCCTGAGGTTGATGAACCTGCTGCAGCCATGGTTGAGAGCTGGACTTTTTAACTTAGCAGAAACCCCCACCTTAAGGCTCAGAGATGCCACATGCAATCTTTGCTGCCCACAACCTAATCAGGGGCATGGTGTTACACACAGCATTCTCTCCAGATTGATTCACGAGAGATGAAGTTTGTGCCATGCAGAATGATCTGTGGTTCTCCATGAATCAAAGGGATCCTGTGTGCATGTGAGCAGAGCCACTGAAGGCAGGACAATGGCCTGATGCCAAGGTGCTGCATTTGAACATAGCCCCGGGACCACAGTAATTCCTACCACAGCAATTCTGTGGGCCTTGCAATTCCTACAGCTCCATTTTAATGGCTAGATTTTTACTTCATCCCAGACAGCTGGAAGGCCATCGCAGGTAGCATTTCATGGGAAATTATCTCTTATGAGGTCAAAGGCAGAAGTAGGGAGAGAAGTGTCTGATCCTCCTGTGGGATAAGGAAGACCTACACAGAAGATCGGGTCCATACTAACAATACTAGAGAAGTAGGTAGATTCGTCTTTGCTGGCTTGGCTTGGTTTGGTTTTTGAGTGTCTCACTTTTCTTCCCTGCCACAGTAGAAGACTTCATATAATTCAGATCTCTGTAAATCACCCAGGAACTACAAGAACGGTTTGATTCTGAAAGCTTCTGTACAAATAATGTAATTAAATGGCAACTGTTGTAAATCAAACTAGGCATTCAACATGTAGTTTCGTACACGTAGTAAAAGGACCTAGCTCATCTCTTATATAAAAGTATATAAGTCATGGCAGCTCCCCAGGGATGAACTGGAACCAGCTGGTAGAACTGACTGTACCTAACAGGAAGTTGTATACTGTCTAGATGTAAAAAAGGCTGGTTAATTTTATTAGCTGTAGTCATACATGTAACTAAGATGAGCGCCAATCTTAGGTATCACTGAGTGAACACGTAGCACGAGAGGAGATTTGACAAAAGAAAGCCAGAACAGAAATGTATCATAGGTGTACTTTAATAATTCATTTCTGTCTCAGAGATACCAGTACTCCTGGGTGTGTGCTCTAGTTTATACCCAGGGATTATCATTAGGAGTAGAAGTGAAGTCAGAGGGCATGTCTACACAAGGTGTTTACTGTGGAGAATTAGCTCATCAGTAAATGTCTCCGTGCCTGCGTGTTCAAAGCTATTAGGCTGGAGTAAACTAATAAACTCCACAGCAGGGTACTCCTTGACAGTACCCTGCTGTCAATTTTTTTACTTCACAGCACTGCACATGTAGATGCTCATGAGGCTGACTGGGACACGAGGATGCTTCAGTGCAAGGGCTGCCTGCTGACTAGCCCTACACTGGAGCATCCTCATGCCCCAGCCAGCCCCTCCACAGCATGTTGAGCTGGAATGTATTGCTGTGCATTAATATTGCTGTGCATTAATAGCTCATGTAGATGCACTCAGAATACATTTTTAAATGTGCCCTCTAAAGGCAGGCTTGGAAATAGGCTGGCCTAGGGGGCCTTTCAGGCCCCTTCTGACTCTATAAGGCAAAAAAGATGACTTTGTATGCCACTTTTGCCTACAGTGAAGTAGAACAAGCTAAAGAACAAGAAAGTATGAAAGCAAAAATAAAGGGGCAGGAAATAAGCAAGGCTTGGGAAGGTATGGAGACCAAGAAGAGTCCAGTTTTTCAGAGACAGAGCTGGCTGTATCTTCCAGTTGTGTGGTTTCATACTATTTTTCAAACTGTTTCTTGAGAATAACCTTGGAAGATAACAGACTTTTGTGGGCAGTGGTCACAGATGTTGCAGGTCTATTCATCTGTTTATAAAATATGCAGCATTCTTTTAAACTCCTATACTAATAGCAACACTCTGGATAACACTGCAAGATTGTGAACCTGGGCAATGTGTAAAGAAAGTATATATGCTTAGAGGAGGGCAAGGAGGTGAGGTGTTTCATATGTGGTTCCAATGTGCTGCCTCTGTTGCTGTGATTCATCCATGCTACATGGCTCACAGATGTCTCCTTGTCTGTCAGTTTTGTAATCTGGAGTGTACAGCAATTAGCTGCTCAGACTTCTGACTGTTTCCTGGTTTTTGCTTTTTCTTTCATATATTATTCATCTTTCCTACTTGTATTAGATGTTTGCAAGTCTCCCTGCTTTGAGAGTGCAGTTGGGCTTGAAATGCTTGATGGTGATGACATGTTGGGTTTTTTATGCAAGTGTTTTCTTGAACAACTCTGCATATGAAAATGGAGACAATGAGCTACAAATACAGGGCAGAGTTCCTTGTGCTGGAGGCAGGACCTCACATTGCTGCGAGGGGGGTGGGGGTGGGCGTGGGCTTCAACGTATGTTGAGCCTGAGAGAGACAGTGTCTTCTGGAGCACTGTCAGGTGCAGGGAAGCACGCCTTCTTCATTGCCCTTTAGGACGGTAGTGTGATCCTTTCCATGTCAGTTCTAGTGGGGCCATGACTGTACATCTTCCATGCTGCGTTTGGGGAAAACAAGACAATGCTGGAGGGTGGAGAGATGGTTAAATACTAGACAAATGAAATGAAACATTGCAGAATTTCTGAGTCATTTCTCTTAAGAGCTCCATGGAAAGGGAAGCATCAAAGAAGCCATATGCAATACACAAATACAAATTTGATCATCCCTAAAAAGACAGGCCCTCACCTATATAATCCTAAGAGCCAACAGCAAGCAACCTAGCTATTAACCACTTCCTTACATAGATGCATCTCATTTGTAGGACACTCCAATAACTTACAGAATCTCAACATTTTTCCACAATCTTTAATCAAAAGTGTGATTAATTTTCTTTTTAACATTTTCATAAAAATCACTATAAAATATGAAAATATTAAAAAAAATGAGCTGAGAATTTCTAAAAGTCAAAAGATTTTTAAATATATATTGATTTTGAAAGATGGGCATTTTTCTATGGAAAGAAACATTTTGGTTGAAACCTGTTGCTGAAATGTACTGTGCGGAAAGTTCCTTATCTGCTCATTCTTCCATCTGTACAGTTGTTTAGCAATCCTGATGTAATCTAACTCACTGCCTCATCTTCTAGTAGTTCAGGGCTCAGATTATTTTATCTAAAACTTTCCAGAAAACAGCTATGCAGTGTAACTGTGTTTTGTGAACAGGTGCTGCAGACTTTGCATGCCTACTTACTTGCTTAAAAAACATGTTTCCTTGGTAGACATATTATTTGATATTTAGATAAGCAAATTTTTCAATATTTTCTAGTGTTTTCTAGTGTTTCAGATTGAGGGGTACTAGGTTGGGACGGGCCACTGATGTTTACAAATGGTCCTGGCACAAAAAAGGTTGAGAACCGCTGCTCTAAGGAGATGCTCTGGCTGCCAGCCAGAGCATCTCTACTGCTTTGTGTGTCCCCCAGCTCCTCCAGCATGACAGGAGCTGGGAGGAGGGGGGAAACAGCAGTTTCCCCAAACCAAGCCATTTTGCCCTGCAGCAAACCCCACATGCAGGTGGATGCACAGCATCAAAAAGAAGCAGCAGAAATTTGTGCCACAGCAAATGTACACCCCTGAATGGGTAGACATGCCCCTAGGGTATGTCCCCACAAGTGAGAACACGTGTTTCCTGAGGGACAAATAGCAGCATGCTGCTGCTGCTTGTCCCCAGGAAATGCCCATGCATGTGCACTTTGGCACATGGCACTTTGTCCCAAGTGGGGTAGGGGAGGCTAGGCCAGCACCTGGGCTGGTCCCAGCAGGTTTACCTGGGGTTCTGAGGGCTTCCAGGGGCTGCAGCCACAGGCAACTGGTAGGGGTGGTATGGGAGGGTATGTGCCCCCCACCGAGATTGGCCCCCGACTTGTCACTGCTCAGGAGGCACCAGTCACCCCTGGCTACAGCCATGTCAATCCAGCAGCATGGAGCCTGGACAGTAGCTGATGTGTAGTTCCAGCCGGCCAGGCTCCAGTTTCCAGCGGCACACTCTGCCGCCATATGTGCTGCCCCACTTTTTTAAGACAGTCTGCGGCGCTGCAAACCGCTTGTCTGCAGTGCCACATACCACATGTCCACGCTCAACTGGATGTACCTATACACTACGTCCAGATGAGCGAGCATGTGCCTGTTGCAGTGCCTCAAAGCAGTTTGAGACGCCACAAGAGGCACACCAAGAATGAACAAGTGTTCCCTGCCCTGCATATTTGCAGCATGGACTCTAAATTTTATGCTGGGAAATCCCAGTATGAAAAAAAACCCATTGGAAAAAAGCGGCGCAGGCAACTGGAGGCTGGGTCCTCCATGGCTGCCTCATGCCCCTGCTGCCCCAGCAAGCTGCCTCAGCATGCTGGAGCAAATAAGCGCAGAGCAAGGCTGCAGCACTGGATCAGACCCAGGCTCTGCCCCAGTAAGTAGGGTTGTGGGGGTGGGGGGGGACTGCTTGGGAAGGGTGGGCTCCCTGTTCACATGGTGCACAGCCCTCCCACAGCAGCCCGCAGTGGCCATCAGGGCACTCACGGCCTGCTGCAGGCACAGCCCCCCGGCAGCGCAGAGCACCACCTCAGACCGAGTGGCTGCACATGGCACTGGCCTGGCCACTGGCATGTACCCGCAGCCAGGACCAGGCTGCTCTTGCTGCCACCCGGGCTCCCACACTGCAGGCAGAAGCTGCACATCCTTGGTCTGGGCTGAGCCCTGCTTCCATGTGTCCCAAGCACCGTTGGGTTGGGCTGGCTCTATGGATGAAGGAGTGGCCTGGCTTGATGGTGTGCAGCCCCTGCATGCGGTGCCGGGAGCCCAGGTGACAGCAAGAATGGCCTGGTTCTGTTTGAGGGTGCGCACCAGTGGCCGGGCCAGTGCCATATGCAGCTGCTGGGTCTCAGGTAGTGCTGCGCCACCGGGGGCTCTGACAACAGTGGGCCACAAGCTCGCTGATGGCTACTGCTGTTGCTGGGGGGGGGGGAGCTGTGTGCCATGTGGGGGTGGGCAGGCGGGGGCCTACCCCCTGCTGAGCAGTCCCCCCCCCAACACCCACAGTCCATTCACCCCCACGGCCCTACTTACCTGAGACAGAGCCTGGGTCCAAGTCACCACTGCAGTCTTGCTCTGCTCCTATTTGCCACAGCACCCTGAGGCAGAGTGCTGGAGCAGCAGGGACACAGGGTAGCCATAAAGATGCTCTGGCTGGGTGCCAGAGTGTCTCCTTCGAGGGCCCAGCCTCCAGTTGCCCTGCACTGCTTTTTTCCGGTGGGTTTTTTTCATACCAAGATTTCCCAGTATCAAATTTAGAGTCTACGCTGCAAATATGTAACACAGGGAACATTTTTTTTGTTCATGTTGTAGGGAATACTTTTACATTCTTAGCATGCCTCTTGCAGCATCTCAAACTGCTTTGAGATGCCACAACAAGCATGTGCTCATTCGCCTGGATGCAGTCATAGAGTTTAAAGCCAGAAGTAACCAGCACATCATCAGCTTTGATATCATAGGCCAGGCAACTACATCCAGATACCCCTGCATTAAGTTCAATATCTTGTGTTTGGCTAACCTATATGTTCCAGAAAGACAGCCAGTCTGGATTTGAAGCGTTAAAAGGGATAGAGAGTTCACCTGGTCCCTTGGCAGTTGGTCCTAGTGGTTAATCAATCTTGCTGGGGAAAAAAACTGTGTTTCATTTCTTCATTTGTTTGACTTGAATGTGTTTGACTTGAACTTCCAGCCCCTGGTTCTTGTTCTCACATTCCTCACTTGATTGGTGCGCCTTCAGTACCAAATTATTTTCCCCCTGTAAGGAATTGATAAAAGTATAATTTAATCACCCTTCTGCTGGATGAACCAAACACGGAGCTCCATAAATATCCTGCTGTAAGATAGTTTTTCCTGCCTTTGAATAATTTTGGTGCCTCATGATGCCCTCCAATTTTTCTGTTTTAAATTTTGGACAGCAGAACTGAATGCTGTTCCAGTGTTAATCTCAACAAAGCTGTCTGTATAGGTAAGTTTGCCTCCCTATTCACTACTTAAACATCTGTGGCAGAAAGAATTTACACTTTCTGCTACAGTAAAAGCTGTTGAGTTGTTCATCCATTATGGCCACTATTAAATCCTTTTCAGTCGCTGCTCGCCAGACAATGGTTGCCTGTTCTGTAACCTGCATTCACTGTTCCTAGAAATGACTTTGCATTTGGCTATTAGGGCTGTGCAAAATGGCACCGTTCCGTTTCGCCTCGAGTTGCGCTGGTTTGACTGAACAGCGTTCCGTTTCAAATTTCATTTTGATTCGAAACAGTTGTTCCATTCCGTTCCATTGAAACGGAAAGGCTAGATCACGCCAGGGGCCCAATTTAGCACCACATCCCTGGTGCTAGATCATGCAGCGTGATCTAGCACGGGGGATGGGAAAGCAGCCCAGCTGGGCCGTCTCGCCGCCCCCCAGTGCGATCTTGCACCAGCGATGGGGTGTCATCCCAGTTGGGCTGACTTCCCTTCCCCTGCTAGAACTTGCGCTGGGGATGGGAAGTCAGTCCAGCTGGACTGACTTCCCATCCCCAGCCTATGGTCACAATGTTTCGACTAGCCTCGTTTTGTTTCAAGGCCATTTCGAGGGCCTTTGTTTCATTCTGATTTTGCTGTTTCGACCTCGAAATTAGTTGAAACCGTGTCGAAACAAAATGGCTGGTGAAATTTCGCACAGCCCTATTGGCTTTATCAAAACACTTTTTGTTTGAATGGCCCTGGATTATCAAGTGATCCAGAACATTCCGTATGCCTTCCTGGTTCCCATCATTATTTACCATTTTATCACCAATGATTTTATATTTACTTCCACATCATTCATAAAAATGTTAAATAGCTTCAGGCCTAGAATTGATCCCTGTGGAACCCCATTAAAACATTCTCAGAGAGAACTGTTTATTAGGTCTCTCTGTTAGCCAAGTATTAATCGATTTTAAATAAGCTATATTTAGATAAAATATATTGTAATATTGGGTGCCATTTTAATCAGATTGCCATGTGATACCAAATCAGCTGCTAACAAAAGTGTAAGTGTATTACATTTACACAATTATTTTTATCAACTGAACTTGTCCTGTTAAAAATGAAATCAGATTTGTTATTCGACAATACCTGTGATTTCCACAAAACCATATCGAGAGGAACTAGCTACATTCCCATCCTTAATTCATTAGCAGTTGAATCCTGTATCAGTTTTACATTATTTGAGTCATTTCTGTCATTGGCACAGCAATGGTGCTCTTGCAGACTTCCCACAGTTTTTCAAACTTTATTAAAAATTAAAGTCAATGGGCCAGCAAATGACTCAAAGTGCTCTTTTAGGACTCTTGGGTGTAGTTATAGGAACATAGGACATAAAAATAGAAGGGATCACCTGGATTGTTGAATCCAGACCCCTTCTACTGCAGTCAACTATGACTTATAATCCCTTTCATAAACTGATCAACCTCCACCTTAGAACTAGTTAGGATTTTTGTGCACACTACTCCTAATGGAAGTCTACTCCAGAGCCTCACTCCTCTAATAGAAGTCTTCCCATTTCCAGCCTGGATTTATTCTTGGACAGTTCATCCTCATTTGCTCCTGTGCCACCATTGTCCTTTAACTTGAATGACTCTCCTCCCTCATGCAAAAGCAGCACACATCGCTCAAAATTGGACAGCTGCCGGCCAGGCTCCAAGTGGCAGGATTGTCACTGCTGCAGCCCCAGGAGACCCCCAGAACCCCAGGAAAAGCTGCAGGGGCCAGCCCAGTGCTGCCCTCAGCCTCTCCTACCCCACCCAGGGTAACCTGCCATGCACTAGATGGCGTGTGGCACAGGCATGTGGCACAGGCGTTCCCTGGGACAACTAGCAGCGGACAAGGTGTCCTGCTGCTAGTTGTCCCTAGGGAACCAAATGTCTTGTGTGGACACAGCCTGTCTGGCCAGGCTAAAAAAGCCTACCTCTTTAAGTGCCTTCTCCCTGACCATTAGCAAGGTCTGCTTATTTATTGGCACTTATACTAAGAGATGTTCATAGATTCATAGATGCTAGGGTCGGAAGGGACCTCAATAGATCATTGAGGTCTATATGTTGTTTAGTGTCATCTTTAGTTACTCATAGCCTGAAAAGCAGTTTATTGTCCTTATACAATATTGATACATCTTTCTAATTCTTTTCAAATACAGAACAGAAATATTTATCTAACACTTCTGCATTTCTGCTTCATTTTTAATAGTTTTACTTTCTCCAGCTAACAATGTTCTGATAGCACTTTTAGTGGTTTTCCCCATGATACACTTTAAAAAGTCCTTTCTACCATCCTTAGACCAGACAGCCATATGTTGTTGTTGATGTCTTAAGTTTTCCTTATCAGTTTTATACACCTCATAATTTCTGTTTTATATTGACTTTTTCTTTATTTTGCCTTTTTAATGTGTGTTATATATTGTTTTTAGTTTCTAATACATAAAATAGCTACCATTTTCCTTTTTAACTGGTATGGACCTTTAACCAAACCAGTTCTTCTTAAACAACTTGCGATCAATTTTGTGTAATTTTCTTCAACTTTCGGAAATTAGCCTTTTGAAACATCAAAGATAGATGTCAGTGATGTAAACCATCTTCTGTTCATCTATAATGAATGTAATCAGCTCATGAGCACTGGTCCCTAGGCAACTACCTTTTGTATTAGAAAGTTATCATCTATAATTTGAGAAACTCTCATTTTCTTTTATTATCAATTGCATAAGACCTGCTAATAGATATATACACACACACACACACACACATATCAATCAAGCATTATGGTAAATTCTGTTTCCTGCTATAGATAGGTAGCATATACTTCCAAAGTTCATCCTTATTTCTTCTTCTAGTATTTCTCTGCTAACCAAATATGAAACAGAATCAAGTGTGACTGTCCCCTGGTAACTTGCATAAGATTTGAGTTACTCTGAAGAAATATAACCAGACAAATAAGAACATTTCACTCCATAAATTACATTTGATTCATAGTAACCACTCCACTAACATCCTTTGATAAAGGACTATATATTGACTTGATACCATATTTTGCTGAAGTTTTGACCCACTGATTTCCTCAGCTGGTTCCTCTCTCTAATCCAGAAGCTAGTGGTGCACTTAAACAAAGGTCTACAGATGAAACATGTTTGGGCAGACTAAAATCTAATGTATAATCTAAAATGAACATAACATAAATTAATACTGCCTGCAAACTTATTTTTGGTATTTTTGTCATGTTTCCGGCATCACCTGAGAAGTTTTGCTCAAGTTTTCCTAGAATGAAAGTAAACCCTATGCAGGAGACCAGCACCACTTCATTACCCCTTAATTCCTCAAAATGGAGTTTAAATGGAACCTGTGCCTAGTGCTGATCCTCTTAACTGGAATGACTCTCATCTTCAGTGATAAGATGAGAGGATCAAAGATCCTTCTCATTCTGGGAAGTAAGCTAGCTATCTGCGCCAAGGAAGAACAACCATCTTTGACAAGATGGACAGGTTTGGCTTGGCAAGCAGGCCATTTGTACATGACCTATCAAGCAAAATGTAATATTGGAAATGGAATCTCCTCTAACATAGGAGTACAACTGTTAAAATATTAATAATATTCAGGATTCTGTATTCAATACGGGTATGTCTGGAACCACAAAAACAGCTCCAGGGAGTTTGCAAGGTGTACAAAAAAATTACATTAAAAACTGTTCAAATTGGAATAATTTAAAGTGAGTTTAAAAAGGGTATTCAAGAATAGACTTGTTCTAAATGTCTCCATGCTGATTTCAGTGCCTCCAAATGTGAGGTACAGGTATTCGCAGAGTTGTAAGTAGGTCAGTTATTTTTGTCACTCATTATTACTTGTGAAAAATGTGTGTAGCGAACGTACTAACATACTGTAGCAGCTGAATTTGGGACGCTAGCATTTCTTTTACACATTTTTAGGATGTGTCTAAATGACATGATTTCCTGATTGCAATGTAAAAGCCAATTATTTTCAAAGTCCAGCATCTTTGGACATGCCATATGAAATCTCATTCCCATCATGAAACTGCTTCTGAAAATACTAATGCCACTTTGTTACAGTGTGGTTCCTAATAGGGCTGGATACATGTTAACAAACTCTAGTGAACAAAAATCTCTTATCCTAGTAACAGAATCTTTGCTCCTTTATTGTAATTTGTTAAGGACTGGGCTGTCAATAGCCTCTGGGCTGTAAATAGCACAGAATACATAACAGTCTCTGGTCAAAGGTGCTTAAAGACACAGGGTCTGATCCAGTGCCTGTGAAAATTAGTGGAAAGACTCTGAAGAATCCAGTTCTCTAAATGCTTACTAAGGGGAACAGGCACTGAACCAGTGCCTGCTGAAGTCAATGGGCACATTTTATTTCAGTGGGCTTTAGAGTAGAACTGTCAAATTTACTAACATGAGGAATCCCGCTGTAATCAATGGTAGTCCACATAGCATTAAGCCTGAAATTCACCCTGTTGCAGAAGGCCAACACAAGGCCTCTGTACCCCTGAAAATTCACTTAAATTTTCAAGCTAGGGTTTTTCTGATACTTAAGGGTCCTTCGTACTGGGCCCATCTACACAAGATGTTTACTGTAGAGCTGACTAATTAGATCTGCAGTAAAATGTCACCATCTACATGTGCAGTGCTATTAGGATAGAGTCAACTAATGAACTCCACCATAGGATAGTACTGCCAGATATAAGTACTATATCCTCTGGTGGAGTTATGTACTCTGTCACAACACATGTACA